TTTGCTGATATTAGAATAGGAGGAGCAATCCTATAGAAAACTCTTAACACAATTTTTATGTATATTCTGCTTTCTCCCATTAAGAAAAAAAACTTGAACTTGGTCTCACCAACCAGATGTTTCTAGTTAAAATGTCCTCTGGCCTTGTTAATCAAAACAATTAAGTGTAATCTCTGTAAAAAAATTTTTTACCTCCTACAGTATAATGAGGGAATGACTTTGGGAGACAGGACAAAGAGACACAACCAAGGTCAGATAAAAGGCAGCTTAGCCCACGGCAGGAATGTGGATGAGGCAATAGGCTCAGAAGAGACCCTGGTTTGCTCTGGAAATGGGATTGGGTGGGGGGGAGAAGAGAGAGAAAAGCATTTTCAGAGTTGCAAGATTTTGTTAATGTAATCTTACAGTAAAGTGCAGTTAGCTCATGTGGGTGTGTTTCATGTCTAGTCTAGACCAGGGCGTTTCAATCTTTTCACCCATTGTACTACTTTTAGGATATGGCAACATCCGAGTACCACCAGTCGCCTAGCAAGGTGTCAAAAACGATGACAAAAAAAAATGAAAAAAGAAAGTAAAGGTAGTCCTCGACTTACAACAGTTCACTTAGTGACTCTTAGAAGTTACAATGGCACTGAAAAAAGTGCCCCCCAAGCCACAGCCGAGCAAGACACCTGCCTGCCCACGCGGTGGCGCTCTTCCTCCTGTCCGAGGTTTTCATTGTTGTGAGCATTTCTGTTGAGGATTGGGTGGGGTGGGGGGTGTTTGGTTTTTACTCCCCCCGTCGGCCGGGTGGTTGCAGCAGGTTTTGGTCACTTCACATGACCCTGGGACACTGTGACCGCCATAAATATGAATCAGTTGCCAAGCATCTGAATGTAAATCACAAGACCCTGGAGATGTTGCAACATTCCAGCTGATCGGCGCTTCTTCTGGGCTCAGCAGAAGCTCCAGGATCAGCGCCGAGCTCCAGCTGGATACTGGCGCTGATCCTGGGGTTTCCACTGAGCCCTGACAGCCCCGAAGAAGTGCTGATCCTGGCGCTTCCGCTGAGCCCTGACAGCCCTGCAGCTCCAGCCATCTCTCGCTCAGGCTTGTGCGGTGCTGCCACCGGTTCAGCTCACTCCCCTCCGCCGCTACCACTTTTCTAGGATGGTCGCGTACCACCTGCCAGGTGCCAATGTACCACAGATGGTACCCGTACTACTGGTTGAAAAGCCCTGGTCTAGACTGAGGCTGACATAACATGAGACGTTAGTAAGGCTGGCATGAGAATCATTTGATAACTTTGGACAAGACGTTCCTTCCTTGGTACAGGGGCTGGATCCAATAATTTCTGTGTTCCTCCAAGAATATGGGTAGCGGTCTCAGATCAGACTGGAATTCGTTCTCAATCCTATAAAGTTTTATCAACTGTATGTTGATAAAGTTGCATACCCAAAAGAATACTTCCTGATGATGCCTGCCTAAAGTCCTTATTTGTGTAGATGAGGCAGAATCTTAAGCCCTCTCGAGGTAACGGAATGATGTCTCTGAGGCAAGGAGAAGAGGAATACAAGCAGTCCTCCACTTACAACAGTTCATTTAGTGACCATCCAGAATTACAACAGTACTGGAAAAAAAGGGACTTATGACCGTTAGGACCTTGGCAGCCTCCCCATGATCATGTGATCAAAATTCCGACGTTTGGCAACTGGTTTCACCCAACCCTTGATGTGCCCCAAGGTCATGCGATCACCTTTTGCGACCTTCTGACTAGCAAAGTCAATGGGGAAGCCAGATTCATTTAGCAACCAGGTTACAAATTTATCAACTGCAGCGAGTCACTTAAGAACTATGGCAGGAAGGATCATAAAATTGGGCAAAACCCATTGAACAAATGTGTCACTTAACAGAAATTTTGGGCTCAATTGTGGTTGTAAGTTGAGGACTACTTGTACATGTTTGCTAATGTCTATTTCTCTTGACAGCAGGGGATATTACAAACATTTGATTGTATAGAAATAACATTCAAGGAAGGGGTGAGGGCTAAATGTAAAAAGGTTGTTACCAAAAAACTGCATCTGGTACAGGAAGGTATTAATCTTTATAAAGCCTGAACCTGAGATGTATATAAACCAAAGACCAACGTGAAACTTTAATTTAATAAAATAATTCCAGAGTGCACTGAAATTGTTGCCTCTCTTAACAGAATGCAATATCTCACAAAAGCAAAATAACACGATCCAAGCAATT